TGCCCTCGGGGGCTGGCTGGCTGGAACAGGGCTGAACTCGGACAGCTGTGGATATGGATTTGAGAAGAGGGTCCTCGTCAGGCAGTCGTAGTCGTCGTAGCCGTAGCCCCCATCAGGCCGTCGTAGCCGTAGGCGTCGCAGTCAGGCTGCGCCTTGGGGGGAGCTCCTCCTCTTTTTCTTCCTCCTCCTGGATACCCCCTTGAGAAGCGGAAGGGGGGAATGGCGAGGGCAGGTAAGGAGTGAGAGAGGCCTCCAGGACCCCTGCCGCATCGAACGCCTCGTCCCATTTGAAGCCCGTGATCTGCGTCTCCACTTCCTCCAGCCTATCCCGCAACACTTGGGTCTCTGTGAGCTCCTCCTTCGGGTCGACTGCGCGCGCACAAGTGATCTCCTCCTTCGCGCGTGCCTGTCGCCCCAAAGAAGACCCAGAGGCGCAGGAGTTGCTGGATAGGTTGGAGGAGTTGGGGGCGAAGGTCGAGGGCCACAAGGTGGATGGATGAGAAGATGGTCTGCTCGTCAAACTCCAAGGCCAACTCCTCCTCCTCTTCCCCCTCCCCCTCCTCCTCCTTCGTTCACTCCTCCTCCCTCTCCTCAGTCTCCTCCCCCCTCCGAGCCTCTCGCTCCGTCTCCTCTCCCCCCCTCTCTGAATTATGTTCCTCCGTCCTCCTCGTCATCCCGTATCCTTCCCCCTCTCCCTCATCCTCTCCTTCGCCCCCTCCTGCCCATCACTGCGTGCGTTTTATGTGCCAGGCGCCTGCGCTCTAGAGCGGATGCGCTTGACGCGCGGCCCCGCCGCGTCGTCGATGCTGTCGTTGGTGAGGTCGACGATGGTCGTAGTCTTGGCTGAGGCTGCTGTAGTCCCTGTTGAAGCTGGAGGCCCTGATGACGCTGTAGTCCCTGATGAAGCTGTAGTCCCTGATGAAGCTGTAGTCCCTGATGAAGCTGCTGCTGGAGGCCCCGATGAAGCAGCTGCTGGAGGCCCTGATGAAGCTGGAGGCCCTGATGAAGCTGAGGGCCCTGATGAAACTGGAGGCCCTGATGATGAAGCTGAAGGCGCCTGACGCAGTCGGTCGCGCCAGTAGTCCCAGTCGATGTCCTCGACAGGGTGGCCCGTAGATGCTTTGAATGAATCTGGCGCGTCATAGAGGCGCCGAGCGAACTCGACGAACTCGTCGAGCAGGCTGGAAAGGAGGGTCACGTTCCAACAATCCTGCACATCGTTGCCAAAGAACATGATGTCATTGGTCAGCATACGTATGAATTCGTCGTTGCCGAGCTGATCGACGGGCTGACCGCCATGCTGGTACGTGGCTGTTGGGCAGCCTACCCACGTCAGCAGAACGACGGCTTGCTTGAGGCATGCAAGCATGATGGTCAGGGTCAGCTTGCTCGGACCCCAACAGCTATTGAAGAAAATAGGGGGGCGAAGGCCACAGATCCCAAGGGCACCGCCAGGGGGGGCACGATGGAGCGGCAATGCCGGGCAATGGCAGGCGCTGAAGCAATGCCAAACAATGCCAAACAATGCCAAGCAATGGGTAATGCCAAGAAAGCGGAGCCCAAATGGTTGACGCTTCGCGCATCCCCGCCAGCCCGTCCAGAAACGATGCGTTGCCCTGGCAATGGAAGTGGGGGGGCATACAAAAGAACAAGCGGCTTGAGAAGCACTCGCACGAGAAAAGGGGGGATGACTGAGGAGGAATAGGAGGAGGAGAAGCAGGAGCAGGCGAATAGGAGGAGGGGGGGAACGGGAGGAGGAGGAGAAGGGCGAGCAGAAGGGCAAGAGGCCTTTCGGAGTCTCTTGGGGTATCGCTGGGGAACTTGTTGGAGGCCACTTGAGGCTACTTGGGGGCCTCCTGGCGGTCCTGGGGGCCTCTTGGAGCGTCTGGGGGTGCCTCGGGGGAGCTTCTTGGGGCATGTTGGAGGCCTCTTGGGGACATCTTGGGAGCCTTTTGGAGGCTTCTTGGAGGAGATCGATCAAGGAAGGGGGGAGCTTCAATTAGCCACCCCCCTCGGGAACCCCACGGAACGCCTTTTGGGCCTTGGGCGCTCTTGAGGCCGTCTTGGGGCTCTCGTGGGGCCCTCTTGGGCCATGTTCAGGCCATCTTGGGGCAAGCGAGAAGGCGAGAAAGCCAACGACATTGATTGTCCTCAGGTGTTTGAAGGTTGGCATCCTGGCGGCCTCCCATGGAAGGCTCCGTCGCCGCCTGGTGCCGTCTTCGGACATCCTGGAAGCCATCTTGAGGCATCTTGGGATCTCTTGAGCTATCTTGGAGGCCATCTTGGGCTCGCCGAGGCGCTTTGGGGGCCATCTTGGGCAATCTTGGAAGCTCCAACCCCATCGCCGCCCCCCTCCCCCACCGTCCAGGTCCAGGGGATGAGGCGGGGGGAGGGGTGAGCCCCTCCCCGAAGGGGAAGGAGGGGAGGAAACTCCGTGGACGTTTTTTTGTTTTTGTTTTCTCGGCGGGAGGCCCCGAGCAAACCTGCGCGAGCAAAGGCGCCCTGGCCAGTAGGATGAGGGGGAGGAGGGAACAGAGAACACTTGGAGCAGCGCACACGCCATCAACCACCAGCATCAGCATCGACATCAGCATCATCATCATCAGCATCATCGCCATCATCATCATCAGCAGCAGCATTATCATGAACGTCATCATCATAATCATCATCATCGTCGTCATCGTCACCACCACCATCACCATCAACAGCATCATCAGCATCGCCATCATCAACGTCAGCAGCCTCCTCATCATCATCATCATCACCAGCGTCATCATCAACAGCAGCATCAACACCATCATCAACATCATCGTCATCCTCATCCGCCTCCTCTTCATCATCATCACCATCATCATCAGCAGTATCATCATCAGCATCATCATCGCCATCGTCATCATCATCATCATCATCATCATCATCACCATCATCATCATCATCATCACCACCATCGCATCCTCCTCCCCTGTCGCTCCTCACCTCAATGACCCCTCCTTCCTGGCCTCCCCTTCTCCCTTGCCTTCCCTCCTCATCCTGTGCCCTGCCCTTCTCCCTGGCCGCCCTTGCCTTTCGCGTGCTCACGTGAGAGGGGTTCCTCTGAGTGGATCCCCGCGCTAACCTGTTTTTGTGTCATTCATTTCCCACTTGGGGTACTTCATATTTCGCTCGACGTGTGGATTGAGGTGGAAATCCGAAAGAGAAGGATGGGATATGCGTGCCACGTATTCCTGCAAATGCGTTGTTGCGATGTGTTCCCTAACTAGGCTTGCTGAGCGACGAGGAAGACTCGATGGGCCGAATGTGATCTTACGAGACGTGCCGCCCTCGCTGTAGGCGTTCCTCCTCCTCCTCCTCCTCCTCCTCCTCCTTTCCCTCTTCCTCCTCCTCCTCCTCCTCCTCCTTCTTCTCCCTCCTCCTTCTCCTCCTCTTCCTCTCTCATCTTTCCTCCTCGTCCATCACGCTTCCCTGCTGAGTGATGTGGCGCAGGCTTGCCCCAGTGATATGGGTGATGCTACCTGCGAGGGCTGGGGTGGTTCCAGCCAGTTGGAGAGACGCTGCTGAAACAACGGCAATGGCAACCAGGAAAAAGGGGGAGGGAAAAGAAATGCTGCTAAGACCTGCCAAGAGGAGGAGGGAGGCGAAGACAGGAGCCGAGGAGGCGGATCACGAGGACTACGAGCGGAGGAAGAGCAGGATGAATAGAGAGAGCGGGAGGACCCCGATGCCGGGCGCCTCCCGGGTGGTCGTGGTGGTGGTCGTCACGGACGTCGTGGTCGCGGTCGCGGTCGCGGTCGTGGTCGTAGACGTGGTAGCCACCCCCGCCCAGGGCAGCCCGGCCACCAACGCGGACGCCGGCGGCGGGGACATGAGGTCCCTTTCCCGCGCCATGAAACCCTTCGGGAGGAGGCAACTTTGAGGACAGCACAACCCACTCCCACCCCAAGCCAGGACCCCCGCTCCCAGCCTTTCAGGAGGAGAAAAAGCACACAGACACAATTGATCGTCGATTCCCAAGAAAATATGTAGAAATATGGGAAGTGGGGGGGAAGACAAAAACCCAGAAAATATGGGAAAACATTGGGAATCCTGTTATTTGTGTGTACTTATTTGTGTGTCCCAGGGCCCCTTCAGCCTTGTCGGCCCCCAAGAACTCCAACCCCCCCCCCCCACCCCAGCCAGGAGCTCTGGCCGGGGGTCCCGGCTGGGGGTGGGCGCGGAATGTGCTGTTTGCACACTAAGTGGTCTAGACCACTGGGTGCCCACGTTGTGATAACAAGAGCACGGCGTCGGACGTCTGGGGTGCAGTGAGGGCGTCGGTCGAGCTGACTGGGCTAATTCACGTCCTGAGGATCATGGACCCAGACATCCAGCGGAGAGATCGAGGCGGCTGGTGTTTTCTCAGTGTTTGGCCTCCAGGGCCTGGCTCTGGCTCCTGCGGGACCGTCACAGAACGGCTCCGAGGGTGAGGAGCCACCTCTCGGGAAGGGCCGAGAGATCCAGGGGCCCACGCAGCGAGGAGGCGGTGACGTTGGCTGCCTGGGGCCGCAGCCTCGCCCCCCTCGGCGCCAACGACACACGCGAACCCTGCTCCTGCAGGTCAAACACCTGCAGGAGCAGGGTCTGCGACATCTGCAGCCGCCGAGCTCACTCCCGCGGCGGTGTCCCAGCGTCGGTGGTGCCCGCACGGGTAGGGGTCGCGGGCGTCGTGAAACAACAAGACCAGGGCGCCATGGCTTCTTCTCAGGGCGTCGTCGGGGAACCACGGGGATCGAGAGCGGAGACTCCGACCTGTGGCCGAAGCGACGGTCTCCTATTTGCCTGTTTCTCGGCGGGCGGGGGTCGATGCAGACAAGTCACGCTTCTGCAGCAAAGGGGAGCCCTGGTCTGCGTCTACCAGCACCTCTGCTTGAGCGCTCGCATCTGCACATACTTCTGTCACTGGTTCTACCCCACCACCACTGCACGGCCGTATGTATTCCCGACGCAGCGCTTGCGCTTGAGGAGCCCTTGCCGACTTTTAGGAGCAAGGCCCCGTTGAAAGCTCGGGTTGCTGCCGGCCAGTGGGTTCTTGGACCCCCAACGGGGTTCCAAACACCCCTGTCGCCCCACGGGGTTCCACACGTCGCTGCCTTTGAAGCTCCATATAAAGATCCACGCGCCCCCCTCGCCCCGTGGCGATCCGCCCACCGCGGCAACTGGACCCCCCCCGGGCTCCACACGCCTTGGCATCCAGAGACCAACAAGTTTCAACGCGCCTGGTGTTGCGTACACTGACACTGGAGGCCAGTCCACAAGAAACCCTCCACAAGAAACCCAACCCTGAGACCCCAGGACGTCCATTGACGTTTGGTGTGGGAACGTCACGCTCTCCATGGCGAAACCAATCGAAACCCAAGAGACCCGGGGCACCCTGGAGGCGAGCAGGGTTTTCCTTGGCATGGGCCTCCGCTGTGGTGCTCCTCACGAAATGGGGCCCCACGCGCGATCACACGCTTCCTCCGGCGGCGCGGCGGCTGCACGACGGTCGCCAGCGCCGAGCCAGGACACGCTGTCCGGCAAACTGCAAGCCGGCGCAGCGGTTGGGGGGGACCAGATGGGAGCTTTGGGCCCCGGAAACGGCAGGGCCGTTTTTTCACCGTTTCCCAAAAAAATGTCCTCCAGGACTGGAGCCAGAGCCGGAACCGGTCAAACAACGGCGACGGAACCGGTAAAAAAACGGCGTCGGAGCCGGCACAAAACGGCAAAACGGAACCGGTAACAAAACGGCCCTGTCGTTTCCAGGGCCCACTAAGGACGGGAGGAGCCGCGTGCAAAGGACAGAGGCCGCGAAGGGCGGCAGCACGCGGAAGAGGCCGGCGCGCGCACGCGGTGCAGGGGGCAAGAGGCGGGAGGCGCGCACGGTCCTGAAGCCGCAGGGCGCGACGCGGGGGACCTACTACGCTCCACACACACACACACTCACGCACACACACACACACACACACACCTGGCCATCGCTCGGACGTCCATTCCCTGTGTTTTTTTCGGTTTCGTGCGTGGTTTTTTCGCCAAATGATCAAGGACGCTCCTCGATGGTCCTCTCCGAAGGAAAAATGCACACGTCCGAGCGATGCCAAGACACACACACACACAAGCACGCACACACACACACACACACACACCCACACACACACACACACACACACACACGCACACACACACGGGGGGGGGGGAGTCCGCACAGAGAAGGTTCATTACGCTTGGGGCTTCAGCATACACATGGCACTCCGCACGCGTGGGGCTCCGCACGCGCGGGGTTCCGCACTTGTTGCCTGAACTATCCAGGGTCCGCGCGCTGGCGGCACCCTTACACACTTCTGCGTATGCTGCTTATCAGTGCTTGGTTTCTTCAACTGCTCCTGCTTTTGTTGTTTTGATATGTTGCTCCTGCTCCTGCTCCTGCTTGCCCTCCTACCTCTACTTCTGGGCTCCTGCTTTCCCTGGGACCAGCTATTCGTCCCGAGTCGTTATGTTCGACAGCCGGAGAGGGGCCCGGGAGGCTCCAAATGTGGAACGACAACCAGGATCCCTTTCCCCTGGGACATTCTTTTGGCGAGCCCCCCCCTTCACAAATCGGCACATGGAGACTGTTGAGGTGCGATGTGGCTGGAGTTCGGAGGCGAATCCAGTCGTGGCCACGAAGCCCCCTGAATCTCGGAATGATGCCAGAACTGCTCCCGAAAAACAAGTGTCTTTGAGCCTAGATCCTCGAGCGTCGCTCCTCGATTCTTCTTCGAGTTTGTGCTCCGAGATCTCGTCCTTCGCGCGGCGCGCTGGCGCAGGGGCGCCAACGCCGAAGACCAGGACGGCGGCGGTGGCAGCGACCTCGGAGTGGCTCGATGCACAGGTCCACCACGTCGTCTAGACGGCCAAGGAGCCAGGGCATTTGGCGAAGGAGTCCGGCGTACGTGCAGAAACTCCAGGCATCCCACAGCCTCGGAAGCTGGAGTGTCCGCACACCGGCCGATCTCCTTGGCCGACAAGACGGCGTAGTGAAACAAGTGGCTGCATGCCTCTGAGAAAAGTTCCCGGGTGCGGCTCGGCCGAAACAAGCCGGACCGTGAAGCGGTTAAACAGGGGAAACCCGATTACGCTTTGGGCCTCCAACCTACCTGTACTAAACTGGATGGAGCGGGATCATGCCGGATCGTTTCACATCGCGCCGCACAAAACTACAACCCAGGCATCCGACGTCTTGTTTCTGTTCCCCACGGGGCCCCCGGACAGCCCGACGCGTTCCCTGGGGTCGATCTTGGCCCAAGGCCCAAGGGCCTGGCGCGGGCCCCCCCGGAGGCCGAAGACGGCAAAGGACCTCCCGCCGCGACTCTTCGCGAAGCGAGCTGGGCATAGAGCAACCAGAGAGAGAAAAAAAAAACCCTGCACGGTGCCCACCCCCCAGGATTCGCCGCAGGAGGCTGGACGGCGCCCGCCACCGGCTCACGGCCCGACACCACGCCGCCAGCCTGCTGCATGGCTGGGGCCCGCCCGAGAAGCCCCAAATCTGCGTGCTCGTCGGCGGCGAGCCGAGGCAGTCCGCACGCAGCGTGTCGGCGGCGACGATAGGGGCGCATGGCCCAGGGGCGGGCATCACACGCATTCGCCCGGGAGCCTCCTCGAAGACAGAGGTCCTCCGCGCACCTGTACATGTGTACTGCCCTCCCCTGGGCTGTTCGCCCCCTATCGTCGCGACTCTGAGCGTGGGGCCAAGCCGGGCAACCGACAGACCGAGTGCCCGGCGCGCAGGAGGAAGGGGCGAAGACGAGGGCGGCCGCGCGGGGGGAGGAGAGGGGAAGCGCTCGAACGCGGAAGAGTTCCGCGATGAGCAGGCCGGAGCCGAGAACCCTGAGATGCTGGCGTCGCAACGTGTGTCGCAGCAGGCGAGGTGGCCCCGCGTCGGGGCCCGGGGCCCGGACGGACCGATGCGGCCCGCAAACTGCGGCCGCAAGGCTGGGCCTATAGGGCCTCGGCGGTGACTTTCCACGAGGCTGCGTTTGTTCCGCGCCGTCGGGTCCCAGGAACGTCTGAGAGCCGAGGCCGCGAGTAGAATGCGAAAAATCCCGGGCGGGCGCCCCGGAACCCTTGCAGCTCGGGGCGGCACCTCTCGAGCGGGGCCGAGCTGCCAAGGCCCCAAGAAGGCCCGAAACGAGGCCCAAACGCCCGGTGGGAAGAGAAATGCGATGCCAGGTTCTCCCCAGACCCGCGACGTCGTGATCTTGTCAACGTGGGGTCTAGACCACATCTGTGGGACTGCACTTTCATGAGTTGTTTGATGGTCCCAGGGCCCTGGCGCCGATCCGTCCCAAATATCTTCCGCCGTGACTTGAGCAGGACCCGAAGGCATCGGGGTCAGGGAGTGTGCCTAGAAATCCTTTTATCTGATTCTCCAATCTGCGGCCCCAGAGCTCTCGACCCACCCCCATTATAGTTTTGCGCCCTAGGGTGAGCTTTTGGTGGTCCCGGGTCCCGATCACGGGCGCCTTACGGCTGAAATCCGAAGAACTCGTCCAGATGGACAAGAACACAGATCGTCGGAGAAGATCCAGGGACCAGGGACCTCGACCACTTCCCCAGGGCTGGTTCTTTATCCTGGGTAATTGGCCTCCCTAATGCGGGATGACGATTCATAAAAAATTGGAGAGAACGATTTAAAACATAGTGTTCTGCTACTTCTGCATTTTTTCTGACTGGAGGAGAGAACGATCAGAAAATAGTTTTCCAACCCGCGGCGGGTGTTTTCGAATCGTCCTCCCGGGCGCCGCCGCGTGAACACGACTCGGGTCGGGCGAAAGGGGGGGATAGCAAAGGGGGGGTATGAGAATCAGCTCACGCAGCTGATTTTCCCGGCGCCTCCCGGTGCCGGAGGCGGCCATGTATCGAGGAATGGGCCCCTCGGTGAGACCGAAACCAGCTGCATGCAGCAAATGTCGTAACCCCCCCTTTCCCGATCCCCCCCTTTCGCACCGCCCGAACGACCCCTGGTCATTTCCTAATCGTCATCCTGCATGCTTCCCCCGATACGTCGTGACTCTTCGCGGCGCCGACCCCAAGAGGTCCAGACCCCTTATCCCCAGGACCGGCTCTTCCTCCCGAGTCGTGGCTTGACGATATCCCAGGGCTCGGTAACGGCCCAGCTGGAGGCCGAACATACAAAAACACATACTCCAGATTTCGTCATAAAAGGGAGGGGGTCTGGACCCTCCAAGACAAGCCATTTCAGACCTCCCCCGTGGGAGAGCCCTCCAGAACATCGTCCCCAGACCCCCCCCAGGCCCTCCAAGAAGGCCTGGAAGAGGCCCCCCCCGAAATGAGACCCCCCCCTCCCTTTCTTACGAAATCTGGAGTAGCTCCCGCCGTGATTCTTGCTCAGAGCACGAGGGGGTCTGCAGACCCACCGCCACGAGGCCGCCACGGCGCCCAGGTCCCAGACCCCCGACGTCGTGATTTTTTCCACAACGTCGACCCCTGGAGATCTCGAAAAACAGGGCTAGGATCAGGATAGATCGCTCCAGAGCGTTCTGGAGCGCTCTCAGAGCGTTCCGGAACGCTCTGGAGCTGCTGCGGCGCCCAATACGTCCTCCAAACCCGTCGATTCTCAGAGATTTCGAATTATCCCGATCCGATTTTGGCCCGATCTTCGCGTCGTTTTATCTCGACCCATTCCCCTGGCTGGACCGGCTTTTCATCCCGAGCCGTTGTCTGAAGGCCCCGAGGGCCGGCAGGGGCCTCCCAGAGGCCGAGCATTAAAAAAAACACCTCCCGTCCTGATTTTTGTCATTGCCGAGGGCGCCTATGACTACCCACCAGACCACCCCAACCCAACCCGAAGACCCGAATTTCGGGTTGGGGGGGGGGTAAGGGTTCCACGTGTGTTTTTTCTATGTTTCCCGAACCCCCCCCCACTGGAAATCGAGGGTAAATCTGAGTCTTCGGGTTGGGTTGGGGTGGTTTGGTGGGTGGTGAGCCTAGGGTCCGAGGCGAGGGCGCGTGCTTCGAGCCCCTCCGACCGTCACGGCGAGGCCGCCCGCGCCCGCGCCGGCCCACACGCGCTGCCGCCTCCAGGGCTCCCTGGCCGGCCCCTCCGACTGCTCGGCGAGCAGCACGGCGCTCTCCGGCGCCGGGTCGGAGGGCATGGCCGGCGACGTCCCCCCCCCAGACGCCCGGCGACTCGACCAGAGAGCCCCCCCCAGAGATCCAACGCACTGAAGAAATCAAGACGGAGGTTTTCTTTCTCAATTTGCGGCCTCCAGGGGCTCTCGCCCGGCCCCGGGGCCGTCAAACAACGACTCGGGATGAAAGACTGGTCCTGGGGAAGGCGGCGAGACGTCGGGGGACCGCGCATTGAACAAATCACGACATCGGATCTCTGGCTCCCGCCCCTGAGATCCTGGCGACTCCATTTCTTCGAGCCGGGCGCGTTCGCGTGACTTCGGGCCCCTAGGACCCTCAGGGATCGATCTGGCGTGAAAAATGGCGCAGAAAGACATGGTCTAGGGTCTAGGGCTCCAGGCTAGACTTTTCACGGCGTCTCAATTTTTTTTGGAGACGTCGGATCTCAGGGACTCGCACTGGCTGACAGAATCGCGACGGGGGGTTTTCATTATGTTCGGCCTCCCAGGGCGCTCACTGGGCCTCGGGACCATCCAAGACCCAAGAACGACTCAGGATGAAAAGCCGGCCCTGGGGTTCGAAGGGGTCTAGACTTCTGGGGGTCGACGTTGTGAACAAAAAACAAAAAAAACACCACGTCGGGGGCCGATGGGCCCTGCGACACAGGCGCTGAAACTTTTTCACGCCGTCCGTCTTTTTGGGCCCGGCTCGAGAGACGAAGCAGAAAGACGGGCTCGTGACCATGGCGCCGCCGGAGGCGCGCACCCGGGACGCTCCGCGCCCCCATGGGAACGCCCTGAACAACTCGGGCGCCTGCTGTGGCCAGCTGGGACTACCCGGGGGGCTGTCACGTGCGCAACCCGAGGCCTTCCACCGCGGCACTGCGGCTCGAAGGAAATCGAGGCGGCCCGTTGCACCGCGATCTCAGGGCCCCGGCGCCCTGGAGGAACTGCTGAACAGGACGGGGGGTCCCCCCGTCTTCCCGGCGCTCGGGGGCCCCTTTCTCGGGCCCGGGGAGGTCCGCGAGGGGTCGACAAGTCAGTGGGGGCCACGTCGTGAAACATCGGGCGCGCAGGAGCTCTGGGATCTCGACCTCTGGGGGACCACCTCGGGCCCCAAAGGCCATCCAAAGGCGCTCGGTGGAAGAAGTCGGCCCCCAAGAAAAGTGTCGAACAAACCCTGGTAATTAGCCCATCCACTCGCAGAACCGAGCCGCCAAGTGTCTGGGCCCCACCCGCCCGATCCCGCGGAGAGGCGCGCCGGGCTCGGCGCCCGAGCTACAGCGCGGCAGCGGGGGGGGGAGAACTACAGTCGAGGCGTTGACCCAAGGAACCCTAAATAAGGAACGAGGCCCCTTTTTCCAATAAGTTAACCTTCGATTCCCCATCGAAAACATAAGGAAAACCCAAGACAAGCTGTGAAACATTTAAGGAACGCGGAGCCCCTCCCCTACCAAAAGGGTTCCTTCTTCAGGGCCCCGACTGCACTAGAGGGAGAAGACAGCAAGGGTTACGGATGACCTCGTTTGCGAACGACCTTTTTGATTCGCGGGTCGAGAGTGCACCTCTTCCAGTCGAAGCTGAGCGGGCCGCGCACAGCTCGAATTCACAGAGAGGGGGGGGGCAGAAGGAGCTCGTGAACGAACATATGCCTGCACGTGTTGCGATGGCCATCTTGGGCGCCGCACTCGACGACAGGCGCCGGCCGACTCCGGAGCCCCCTGCCTTGCCATCGCTCGGACGTCCATTTCCTGTGCATTTTGCGGTTTCTTGCGTGTCTTTTTTTGCTTCATGGTCCAGGATGGTCCAAAAGTGCACACGCCCGAGCGATGCCAGGCTGCAGGAGAGGAGGAGCGGCCCGCCCGCCGGGCAAAGAAGGAGGAGGCACGACGGCACCCCGCGGCGACGAGGGCCCCCGGGGCACGCGAGCGACCGGGAGGAGGGGGAGGAGGAGGAGGAGGAGGAGGAGGGGGAGGAGGAGGAGGAGGAGGGAGGAGGAGAGGAGGAGGAGGAGGAGGAGAGGAGGAGGAGGAGGAGGGGAGGAGGAGAAGGAGGGCCACGGGCAGCGGAGGCGGAGGCGAGGCGAGGGCGGCCCCCGCCGCCGCTCCCTCGCCGCCTGCACGGGGCGGCTCCCTCTCGAGGGCGGCGGCCCCGCGGGCGCCCGCCGCCGTCCCGTACCCCCCCCCGCCGCCGCCCGCGGCGCCGCGGCCGCGAGGAGGAGGAGGAGGAGGAGGAGGAGGAGGAGGAGGAGGAGGAGGAGGAGGAGGAGGAGGAGGAGGGCGCCGCGGCCGGAGCTCGGGCGGCGGCGGAGCGCCCCGCGGGCCCGCGCCCCTGGCCGCGAGCGCGAGGATCGACGCGCGATCGGCCTGCCCGCCGCGCCCCGTCGGCCCGAGGGTGGGCTCCCTCGGCGCTGCCCCAGCCAAGCCTGCAGGCTGCGGAGGAGGCCGCCTGGCGGGGCCGCCCCGAGAAGCAAGCGCCCCGCCGACCTCGAGGATCGCCTTCTTGGCCGTAGAAATCGCGATGCGCAGGAGCGCGTGGCGCTCGTCGTGCATGTCCTTGATCTTGAACTGCACCGTCTCCGCGAGGAACGCCTGGTCGGTGATCCGCCCGTGGAATGCTTTCATGGGCGCCTGCAGATCCGAGCTCACGATCTCCGCCTCGTTCGCCAAATGTGGATCACGGACCCCGCGAGATACGGAAGAGGCGGACCTAATTATGCCGTGGACTGGTGGGCTCCTGCCTCGGCACACGTTGGACTAGTTCTTGCCCGCTCCCTTCGCCGCCTCGATGAGCGCCGCGCCGAGGAGCACCTTGCACGTCATGCATACGGGACCGACTCGAGGCCGCGGGCCTGCAGGTCGCGCGCCAGCACCAGGCGGGCCAGCGCGGCCAGCGCCTCCTCGAAGCCCTCCCGCTGGCGAGCGAGCGGCCGCGCGAGCGGCCGCCTGGGCCGCAGCCCTGGGCCCGGGGGGGGCCTGCGGCGGCGCCGCGGGCGGCGCTCCCGGGCGCTCCCAGTCCGAGGCGCTCCCGGGCGCTCCCGGGCGCTCCCGGGCGCTCCCGGGCGCCCCCGGGCGCTCCCGGGCGCTCGCAGGCGCTCCCAGGCGCTCCCAAGCGCCCGCCCCTGGGCGCTCCCGGGCGCCCCCAGGCGCTCCCAAGCGCTCCCGGACGCTCCCAGGCGCCCCCGGGCGCTCCCAGGCGCTCCTGCAGGGGCGGTCTCCACCGCGTGGGCGCACGCGACGGCCGCCCGGGACTGCCGCGCTCCGGCCGCGCCGTCGGCCCCCCGCCTCTCCGCCGCCGCCCAATTGGGCGCCAGCGGGGAGACGGGGAGCGGCGCGCTGCCGCGGCTGCGCCACCCGAGGCCTCTCGCCAGCAGTGTGCTCTGCGAGTAAATGGAATGGCAGTACAGGCCTCGGAACAAATTAGCGAACACTCATGCCACATTCATCTGTCAACGCCTCCCTCTCCCCCTGATGTTCAAAGTTGGCAGTGTGTCTGATGACGTGCACTTCGACCGCAGTCTCCCCCGCGCGTGCCAACATTGAGTTTTGGGGGGAGGGGGGGGTTCAGTAATTGTTTCCCTCTACAGTAGGGATGCTGCAGCGTGTGCTTCTCGTGGCAGGCGGGGCAGGTGAGGTCCTCAGGCACCAGCGCCGACTTGGCGGCATGTGCCAGCGCAGCTCTGCAATATCCTCGAGAATGCGCGAACGGAACACGTCGTATGGCAGACGCTCAGACAGCAAGCGCAGTGAGGCAGAAACCGCATTGATAGGGCAATCGCAAGGATGACTCCACATATCGACTTATCGTGTGCCACAGCAGCACACGCTCCGAACAGAAGGCAGCTCTGCACACCCGCTCACTGCACGGCCCCTGACAGACAAACTCAATGTTGCCGACCTCGATGAGGGCAGGTGGTTCACGACCAGGTCGAAAATGATGACCATGCAGAAACCACCAGCGGTGACGCGAAGCGATACCCACCTCTCGCGTCGGCGAATACTGCGCAGCCCACCCACGGGCCCGAAGGACTCGAGGATCCAAACGAAGAACTTCACCCCTGAGAGCTCCAGCCTCCAGCAGCCGAAACAGTCGCAACCCCCATTCTCGGAGGTCCTCCCGCTCGGAGCCGATCATCAGCCCTGAACGTCGCCCACCAGGCACCTCGCGAGATCAGACGCCCCGCGCCCTTCAGCACCTCGCCCACGATGATAGGGAGCTGCCCGGACAGCGCCGTCGGCTCCATCTCGTGGTCCGAGGGGTGGCGCAGCATGCGCGTTGCGAAGCCGAGCCTCGCCGCTCGGGCCTCCTCCTCCTCCTCCTCCTCCTCCTCCTCCTCCTCCTCCTCCTCCTCCTCTCCTCCTCCTCCTCCTCCTCTCCTCCTCCTCCTCCTCCTCCTCCTCCTCCTCCCTCCTCCTCCTCTCCATCCACCTCCCTCCTCCTCCTCCTCCTCCTCCCTCCTCCTCCCCTCCCCCTCCCCTCCCCCTCCCCTCCCTCCTCCCTCCTCCGCCTCCTCTCCTCCTCCTCCTCCTCCTCCTCCTCCTCCTCCTCCTCCTCCTCCTCCTCCTCCTCCGCTCCTCCTCCTCCGCCTCCTCCTCCTCCTCCTCCTCCTCCTCCTCTTCTCTCTTCTTCCTTCCTCCTCCTCCTCCTCCTCCTCCTCCTCCTCCTCCTCCTCCTCCTCCTCCTCCTCCTCCCTCCTCCTCCGTCCTCCTCTCCTCCTCCATCCTCCTCCTCCTCCTCCTCCTCCTCCTCCTCCTCCTCCTCCTCCTCCTCCTCCTCCTCCTCCTCCTCCTCCTCCTCCTCCTCCTCCTCCTCCTCCTCCTCCTCCTCCTCCTCCTCCTCCTCCTCCTCCTCCTCCTCCTCCTCCTCCTCCTCCTTCCCCTCCTCCTCCTCCTCCTCCTCCTCCTCCTTCTCCTCCCCCTCCTCCTCCTCCCTCCCCCTCCTCCTCGGCGTCGGCCATCTGCAGCATCTGGCGGATCACCTGCGCGGGCACGGCCTCGCGCGGGAACCCCTGACTGTCCCCGCTGGGTGTGGCCGCGCGTCGCCCGCGCCCCCGGGCGCCGACCGCCCAAGAGCGAAGAGCGCAGTCCGCCCGAGCCCCGGGAGCCACCATCGAGTATAGGCACCACCGAGGCCGCGCCCGACGGCAAGGCCCCCAGGACCTTTTTGTGTTTGTTTGTTCTTCCTCGCCCTCCTCCTGGGCGACAGGGTCTGTCAACCGCCAGCCATCCGTGAAACGCGCGGCAAAAGGGCGCACCTTGCAACCGCCGCCAGCAACAGAAAGCGGGCAAACTCATGCGGAGGTGGACGGGGGCCTTGGAACGGAGGACCCGCCCGAGGACCTCGACGCACATCTCGGACTTGCAGAAGCGGCCCACGTCCATGAAGCCCCTAGCTCGCCGCCGAGGCACGCGACTTGCGCTCCGCCGCCTGACCGCCCCGATGGTGTAGGAGAGGGCCCAGATGGCGAGCCACCGTGGAGCAACTGCCGCGCGCGCCCACCTTGCTGCCGCAGAACGCCCTCGTCATGATCATCGCGCCCTCACCGCAGAACGCATACATGGTGTGCTGTTTGGGGATAGTTTCGTGGCATCCGCGCGGCTCCAGCAATTGATCTGGCAGCTCGTCGGATGCCCTGTGCTGATCCACGCTCGCGCGGCGGCACAACGAAACGAGCCTCTTGCGCAGATCGTCCGCGAACTTCGTGAGGCTGAGGTCCAGCACCCTCGTCGTCACAATCGAGCGCGCCTCCAGCAACACCGCGTCGGGTCGCTCGGAATCGGCGATGGCCCAACCCGTTGCCATAAGGCGAGAACACCTCCAGGAGCAGAGGGGGGCCCCGCGAGCCGCCTACTAGCAAACCCCAGTGCGTCTTCATGCGCAGGAGGCCATCGGCCGTCTCCACTTAACAGCGGTCATCTGCCACCCGCCCCACGACAACTGGCAGGTCCTCCTCGCGCAGACTCGAGACCATGTCCTGTTTCGCGGGCGCGCAAACATGGATTGGCGATCTATGGATTTGGCGCGCGTTCGCCAAATCCGGGGAGGTGCCCTCCCCAAGGTGCGGTCGGTGCCGCCTCGTCCAGCGGCGGAAATCTGCGATTTCCCATCTGGGCGGGACCCGTAGCTAATCCACGCCCCCTTGATCCATATTTGCGATCGCCAGACTGTTCCGACGGGCACTGGAACGCCTCGCTCAGGCCCCTGTAGCTCGTGATCACAAGCAATGCGTAGTACCCTCTCGGCGACGACCGCCGAGACCGCCAGAGCCCCGTCCCTCGAACGCTCAGGGACGAGCCCGAAGTCCATGGGCGCCGCCATTTCCTTCTCCGTCCACGCCAGCAGCATGGAAGCGTAGGCCTTGCCCACAGAGCACATGACGTGGATGATGAGTCCTATGTCCGCCGCCCTAGACCTCGACCAAGCCAGCGGAGCAGCAGGGAACACGCGGATCAGCGTGAAGCAGCGCTGCAAGCGCGCCCTGAACGCGCCCATGGCGGGAGGCTCCACCTGGTAACCGATGCCCTCGCCTCGACTCGCAACAATCCGAGGTGCCAAACACATCCACCACACCTGCTTTTTTTGACGAGCAGGGTCGGGCGACAAGCGCTGCCGCAAGCTCCCCGAAGAGGCGCCCGACTCAGTCGGGCACCTTGGGGAGCTGCGCGATACGCCGCGCCGCCAACGCCGCGAATTCGGATACGCTGCCCCCCGCGCAGCGCACGTCGCGCAGCAGAAGTATGGCTTGCCCCCGCGCCGGCAGCCGCTTCCTCCACCCTGGGCACGCATTCCCGAGCGCCTCCGCCGGCGTCGCTGCGCTGGCGCCGCACTGGAGACAGGTGACGCGGCCCGGCCCTTGCGCGAGGGCGCGCGGCAGCCACGACCGCCCTGCGAAGAAGGTGGCGAGCCTGGCGCTAGGGCGGCCGGAGTCGTCTCCGCCGCAGCGCCGCGGCGGCGGCGACGGCGCCGCTGGCAGGGGCGCGCGCCCAGAAGGGGCGGCGGCGCCCGGCGGCGCGGAGCCCGCGCGAGCCAGAGCCCCGCGGCGCACGCTGCTCCAGTCGCGCGGCCGGCGGCGGGCGGCGGGCGGCGCCGCTGCCATGGCAGCCAGCTGCGTGGCTGCGAGCACGCGTCGCGCTGCCTCCAGCTGCTGGAGCTCCCGTCGGCGCGCTGCCACCGGTGCCTGAGGCGGGGCCCGCTGCGCGGCGGCCGCGCCAGCGTTGCCGTCGGCCGCGCCAGCGTTGCCAAGGAGGTGCCGCTCGTCCATCACGCGCTTGCGGGCCTCCGCTGCCGTCAGGTGCGCGGGGACCCAGCGGGCCACCAGCCTTCCGCTGCGGATGGCCTCCTCCGCCTGCTGCCAGAGGTCGGCGTGCTCTCACTTCCGCGCGTCCGCGCCGGCCGCGACCTGCGCGCAGGACCGAACGACGTACTTGCTGTCAGAGGCAAGGTCGATGCAATCGCCGACAGCGCGCGCGGCCGCGACCGCAGCCGCCACCTCGGCGCGCTGGGCAGTCTGCACCCCGTCGACCGGGCCGCCGAGGTTGGGCTCGCCGGAGCCTGCGCAGCGCAGACCCCGCGCCGCGCGCGCCAGCAGGGGGTCCGTCGGATGGATGCAGGCGCCGTCGCTCCAGACAGTGCGGCGGGGCGCGGTGGGCTGCAGTCCGGCCTGCGGCGGGAACCTCGGGTCCTCGTTGCTGGCGGCGTCGGCCAGGGCAGCAAGGCGTGGCGGCATGGCCAATGCCAGGACATCCACCACACCTGCACAGGCGCCGACCACGACGGCGGCGCCACTCGACGCGGCATCATCTTCTTCCTCATGCGCTCCTCCAGCTCGTCGATGTCAGCCTTCGCCGCCTCCATCGCCGAGGAAGTGGAGAGGCGCAGCACCAGCTCAGGCCGGATGGCGAAGAGGAGGAACTGCAGGAGGAGAATGAGCAGGCGGGATAGGAGAATGAAGAGGATGATGACAAGGAGGCCAGACGAGGGGCAGGAGGAGGTGGAGAAGGCAGATGGGGAAGGGGAGCGCGTTAACATGATGAGAGCGACGCAGATGACTGCGTCCTGCCACGGGGGGTACGCGCCGTGCGCAAGGAAAAGGAACCAGTGAGAAAGGGATGAAGGGCTCGCTGACGCGTCCTGGGGCTACGCTTGCCCTCCTCATCATCCCGCTTGACGCGGGCCCGCTCCCCCATCCTCTCAGCATCGACCCCTGGACCTCTGCCAAGGGAGCGCCTGTGGCCAGGACTCCCGGGCGGCTCCAGCAGTGCCGACGAGGGGGCCTTCGAGAGGCCCCAGGCAGGGCACAACGACAACAACAAAAAGGCCTGGCCTGCCTGGCCTGCCTGGCTTGCCTGCCTGCCTGCTCCGCCTCCTCCTCCTCCGCCTCCTCCTCCTCCTCCTCCTCCTCCTCCTCCTCCTCCTCATCATCATCATCATCATCAGCATCATCATCCCATTCCTCCATCCGCAGCCCCCCAGCAGCGGTTATACGGGCGAAGGAACCAACCCTGTAAAGGTGCAAGTGCCATCGTTGAGAGTATCGCCATCGGTGGAGCTGCCTAGGGGGCCACGGAACGTGTGAAGGGTGTGCCGAAACATGTTGGGCGGCAACCTGTGGACACTGCCACTGGGGCCTCCGGTGGAGCTCTGTACGGTGCCATGTGACGTGTGAGGGGTGACGGCCACTGGGGCCGAAATGGGTGGGGGGCCGCATGTGGACATGGCCGTCGGGGTCTTCGGTGGAGCTCCCTAGGGGGCTATGTACCCCCCTGTGGCCTTCGGTGAAGCTCCCTACAGGAGCTACGAGACGTGTCAGGGGTGTTCCGGAATTGGTGGAGCGGCCGCACATGGTACGCCCCCCTGGCGCCTTCGATGGAGCTCCCCATGGGGCCACGAAACGTGTGAGAGGTGTGCCGAAGTGCGTGGGGCGGCTGCATGTGGTACACCCCCCTGGGGCCATCGGTGGAGCTCCATATAGGGGCTACGAAACGTGCGAGAGGTGTGCCGACATTGATAGAGCGGCAGCATGTGGTACACCTCCCATGGGGCCTTCGGTGGCGTTTCCTGTGGGGCCACGAAGCGTGCGAGAGGTGTGCGGACATGTGTGGGGCGACCGCATGTGGTACACCCTCCTGGGACCTACTGTGGCCTCGACCCTTTTCCCGCCTCCCCCCCGCCTCCTCCGGTGGAGAGGGCAGGAGGAAGCCGAAAACCGAAAACTGGACTGGCCAGCCTCCAGGGCGGCGGGTCCAGCGAAGGAAAGCTTCAAAAAGGCAGGATGAGGAGGGGAAGGACGAGGATGATAGAGAGGAGGATGAGGATGAGGAGGAGGAGGAGGAGGAGGAGGAGGAGGAGGAAGGAGGAGGAGGAGGGGGAGGAGGAGGGAGGGCCTGAGGAGCAGGAGGAGGACGGGATCTACCGGGTGGCCCGCGAGGCCACCGAGAGAAAACGAGCCGCCGCGGTGCTGGCACCCGGCCGCCTGGTCGTCGGCGGGGCTCTTGGAGTCGCCGTGCAGGGCGAGGAGGCTGGGCGCGGCGGCAGCGATGGGGCGTCGGGCCCCAGGCCAGGGGCCAAGGGGCAGAGGGCCAGGAGGAGGAGGAGGAGGAGGAGGAGGAGGAGGAGGGGGATCGAGGACTGATGGTAGCTTTACTGCAGATTCGCACCTCCAGAAGCCTCCAGGGGACTCCAGAGATCTCGGGATGCCTCCCGAATCTCCCAAGAAGCGGGGGGAGGCCTCCCCCTCCAGGATGTTTGGCGCCCTTCTCTTGGTCAGCCCATCCTGGGTGACCCTCGCCCCTTCGTCGCCGCGGCGGGGTGAGCCGCACAAGCCTGGACAGGCCCAGGAGCCGCTGTTCGAGGGAGGAGGGGGAGGCGCAAGAGGAGCAGGATAATAGCTACTTCGTGGACGGCAGAGGCTCGGCGGCGGACAGACCTCCCTTTCGTAGACCTCCCCTTCGTGAAAACGGCCTGGGGCCGAAACCGACGGACCCGGACCCCCAAACATGACGGCCGCGAGGCCCTCTCGCGAACCGACAACGGCCAAGTCCTCAATCACCGTGCCAGGGCAGGAGGGAGGCCTGTCCACCCCCGAGGGGAGGGCCAGGAGGTGGACCCGGGGCAGTGGACGGGTACGGATACTGCCAGCAGGAGGCCTACCCATGGACCCCACAGCGCAGCGGGGGGAGCAGGACAGGGCATGGGTCCACACCGCGGCGCACCAGACCGGCGGCCGATGGGGAGATCCTCGTTTTGACCTGGAAGGAGATGCTCGGGGACGACAGCGAAAGATGGGCTTTGCCAGTTGGCCCGCTCGCTTGCAAAACCTCCCCGCCCCGCAGCGGACCAGAATGGGTATGAGTAAAGTTCAGACCTCTGCCGTCCAATCACCTGACTCGCATGACACTCTCAAGCCCGTGCCTTTTTACAGTGGCCTCCGGGGCCTCTTCGGGAGAAGTCTTGACTGAAATGGCTAAAGCATGAAATCCGCAAGTGCCCATGTGACACGCCTACTGACTGCAGTGCTGTGCGATCGGCGGGTAGCCACACACGCGAATGACTATCCACAAACCCCTAGTGCTGATTCCCAGTGCTGGGGCTCTGCGAGGCGGACGGCGGACAAATCGTGCCCCCCTGTCCCAAACACTGTTTTTGTTTGCTCTGTCTCCACCACCGGTCCTGCAGACTGGGAGTGTGTGGCTAGTCCTGCACCTCGGACCGACGTCCGAGGCAGCCCCACCACGGAGCTCCAGAGGGTCGAGGCGCCGCGCGGCCGACGCCCGACGATGCGCGAAGATCGTGACCCTCGCCCAAGAGGGGGGAGGGAGGAGGAGGAGGAGGAGGAGGAGGAGGAGGAGGAGGAGGAGGAGGAGGAGGAGGAGGAGGAGGAGGAGGAGGAGGAGGAGAGGAGGAGGAGGAGGAGGAGGAGGAGGAGGAGGAGGAGGAGAGGAGGAGGAGGAGGAGGAGGAGGAGGAGGAGGAGGAGGAGGAGGAGAGGAGGAGCGGAGGAGGAGGAGGAGGGGAGGGAGGAGGAGGAGGAGGAGGAGGTAGGAGGAGGAGGAGGAGGAGGAGGAGGAGGAGGAGGAGGAGGAGGAGAGAGGAGGAGGAGGAGGAGGAGGAGGAGGAGGAGGAGAGGAGGGAGGAGGAAGGGGAGGAGGGGAGGAGGAGGAGGAGGAGAGGAGGAGGAGGAGGAGGAGGAGGAGGAGGGGAGGAGGAGGAGAGGAGGAGGAGGGGAGGAGGGAGGAGGAGGAGGAGGAGGAGGGAGGAGGGAGGAGGAGGACCTCGAGGAGGAGGAGGGAGGAGGAAGGAGGAGAAGGAGGAGAAAGAGGACGGGGCTTGTATTAAGGAGGAGGAGGAGGAGGAGGAGGAGGAGGAGGAGGAGGAGGAGGAGGGAGGAGGAGGAGGGGCTCTCGCCCGGGATCCGTTTTTGGATTGCCCTCGGGACTGGCAGCAGGCCCCGGGGGCCGAGGCGCAGGAAAGCCGCAGGCACCGAAAACAGATCCTCGTCGGACCTCTGGGCAGGCCCCGAGGGACGCCCAGGCTGGCATCCGCAGAATCTGCGGGGGGGCTCAGCCTTGCTTCAGCCAGCCTCCGCCCTGGCTCAGGCGGCGGAGCCGCACCGTTTCTTCCCCGTGTCGGGGACATGCGCACAACAAGCAGCAACGTTGTCTTGCTGCTTAAGGCACTGGCCTTTGTGCTTCATAGGTGGTGCTCTGCCTTCTGCTCACAACCAGCCGGTGAAATAGAACAAACCTGGCTTCGCATTCAGCAACACGTCTTGCTCCTCCAAATTGTCCTGGCGGAGGACCTGCCATTTGCACTTGCGAGCGCCGTCGTTGTGAAGAACTATCGCCCTTGGTGGATCTCCTGATGGGGCTACGAACCGTGTAGGGTGTGCCGCAATGGGGCGGGCCAACATGCGGGTGCTGCCTCTGGGGCTTTAGATAGAGCCCCCTAGGGGGCCACGAAGCGTGCGAGGGGTGTGCCGAAGTGGGGCGGGGCCGCCATGCGGGCGCTGCCGCTGAGGCCTTCGGTGGAGCCCCCCATGCGACTACGGAAACGTGGCATGCAGGCCCTGGCACTGGGGCCTTCGTTGGAGCTTCCGATGGGGCCACGAAACGCATGCGGGGCGTGCTGCAGTGGGTGGGGCGGCCGCACGTGGTACTACCACTGCCGCCGCGGAGGGCCAGGAGCTCCGAGCCGGCCGAGTCGGTCGCCCCTGTGCGATGCGGCGGCCTGCCAGCTGGGGCCCCGCAGGCGCCCCCCCCAGCAGCCTCCGCCGGGAGCGAAGGGGGCTCGACCTCTTCGCCAACGGGGCCCTTTGCTCGAGTGGCCCACCCTTCGGGTGTTCGTCCACGGGGCCCTTCGCTCGAGTGGCCCACCTTCGGGTGTTCGTCCACGGGGGGTCGATCCACGGGGGATGACCAAGCGCGCGCCTCTCGTGCACACCTGTCGGGCCCGCGGTGGCAGCTTCGGGGCGCCGTGCAGGACGGGGGAGAAGGGAGGAGGAGGAGGAGGAGGAGGAGGTCCCTCCTCCCTCCAGGCCTCCCCCCCACCTCCTCCGGACTCCTCCTCCTCCCCACATCTCCTCCTCCCCTCCTCCCTGCCGGCCCTTCTACCTCCTCTCCTCACTCCTCCCTCCTCCTCCTCTCGCCTCCTCCTCCTCCTCCCCCTTCCCCTTCGCTCCTCCTCCTCTCTCCTATCCTCCTCTACCTCCTCCTCCGCCTCTCCTCCCCACTCCCTCCCCTCCCTCCTCACGCCTCCTCCTTCCTCCTCCTCCTCTACTCCTCCCCTCCTCCTCCTCCTCCTCCTCCTCCTCCTCCTCCTCCTCCTCTCCTCTCTCCCTCATCCTCCTCCTCCTCCTACTCTCCTCCTCCTCCTCCTCCTCCCCTCCTCCTCCTCCTCCCTCCTCCTCCTCCTCCTCCTCCTCCCTCCTCCTCCTCTACTCCTCCTCCTCCTCCTCCTCCTCCTCCTCCTCCTCCTCCTCTCTCCTCCTCCTCCGCTCCTCCTCCTCACCCTCCTCCTCCTCCCCTCCTCCTCCTCCTCCTCCTCCTCCTCTCCTCCTCCTCCTCCTCCTCTCCTCCTCCTCCTCCTCCTCCTCCTCCTCCTCCTCCTCCTCCTCCTCCTCCTCCCTCTCCTAACTATGGCAGTGGTGGTGGACAAAAATGGGCCCCTCCTCCTGGCGTCCGCGTGCCGGCGCCGCCTGCGCAGCGCGGCGGGAGGGCGCCCGCCCCGCGCCGCCTCGCGCGGTTGGCGGCGCCCCCGGTGCAGAAGATGGCGTTCTCCCACGCCCACCTGCCGGCGGGCACGCCGGGCAGCGCGGGCGCACAAGAGATTTGGACGCCCGAAATGGGTACGGAAAAACTGGGTACAATGCCCAACAACAAATGTTGTCCCAAACCAACAGCGGCCGCTGTTGGGCAGGCGGCCTTCTGTCTCGAATGGACACAGGCCGCGGCGGCGTGAACAGCGAATCCTGTTCAGAATGAACAGGAACTGCTGTTGGGCATCGTACCCATTCTTTCCGTGCCCATCTCGGGCGTCCAGAACAGCGTGTGTTGTGCACAGCCGACGGCGGCCGCTGCTGGGCTGGCGTCTTCTCGTCTCAAAAGTGAAGCGGCGATGTCGACAACAGCCCCCTTGTTGAGGATTGTTCGCGATAACGCCCGTTACCTGCCCCGTCCCCCCCCCCCTCCTGCCCCCCCTGGTCACGTCACCATTCGCGTCGGCGCCGTCTGGGAATTGGCCGCTAGCCATTCCTCGGCATTCCAAGACGGCGCCGGCGCGGATCGTTACGTTGCCAGCCCCCTCCCCCTCCCTCTCTCACGCCCGCTACCGCCAGGGGATGGACAACATTGGCTCCAACGGGTCCTGCTGAGCTCAGAGTGAAGAAGGAACTGCTGGCGGTCTTCCTCCCCGTTCTTTCCGCACCCCTCTCGGGCCACCGAGCCTGGGGCCGGTTGCCTTGCAGGCCCCGCGCGCACAGGAGGCGTGGCACGCCAGGCGCTCGCGAGCGACGCGGAGCGCAGGGGTCAGGCGCACCAGGATGCGGCGACGTGCGATGACCTGCCGCGGTGGGGTTGACGTGGGTCGTTTTGGCGGCACGCAGCGTGAAGAGCGAGAGCGCTCGCGCGCGGCCGTGCGCGGGCGGCCTGCGCGCCCACGTCCGCGACGACGGCCGCGATCCTTCGCTCCGCCTGCGCCGCGACGGCCCAGGTGACTCCAGCGGCTCAAACAACATCGAGGCACGCAGGGCCTGTTTTTTTAGACTCCCGCAAATTCACTTGCATGGGCTGCATGGGCGGGGGTGGGGGGTACTGGGCGTGCTCGAACCTGAAGTGCGCCGCGAACGACTCGCACATGCACGCCAGTATTCGTCGGAAGAGGGGCGAGGGGGGGGAGGGGGGGAACACCGTGCAAGGACACCTGACACTTGCCCGACCATCCAAAAAAACACGGGCCCGACCCGCTCTCCAGCATGCTCGGCACCTGTCCTGCCCACGCCTCGGCCCCCAGAGGGCCACCCATCGCCGATCCCGGACGGGGAGGAAGAGGAGGATGGCGGAGGAGGAGGAGGACGAGGAGGAGGAAAAAGAGGAGGAGGAGGAGGAGGACGAGGAGGAGGAAAAAGAGAAGGGGAGGAGGAGGAGGAGGAGGACGAGGAGGAGGAGGACGAGGAGGAGGAGGAGGAGGAGGAGGAGGACGAGGAGGATGGCGGAGGAGGAGGAGGAGGAGGAGGAGGAGGAGGAGGAGGAGGAGGAGGAGGACGAGGAGGAGGGACGAGGAGGAGGAGGAGGACGAGAGGCCGGCCCTGGGGGGACGGGCGCCGCCGAGCCCTTCGGGGGGGGGGGGGGGGCCCGTCGCGAAAGCGTCACTGCGTCGGAGGTCTGCGTCGGAGGTCTGGGAGCGTGGGCGTTGACTCCTCCGGCACAGCGTGCCTCGCTCCACCGTCAGCGAGCGCGACCCTCCAGCTGTGCGGCTCCTACGATGCGAGACAATTGTCAGCAGCATTCCTTCTAACGCTCCCCCTCCTCCTCCTCCTCCTCCTTCTCCTCCTCCTCCTCCTCCTCCTCCTCCTCCTCCTCTTCCTCCTCACGGGGTTCAAACTTGGACGCCAAGGCTGGGGTCGCCGCCGCGTCAGCGAGGGGCGAAGCTGCCGTAGAAATGAATAGCCATGGAGGGGGAGGGGGGTAATTAGCCCTTCGATCCTCTGCCTCCTCTAGATCATGCTCCTCCTCCTCATCCTCATCCTCCTGCTCCTGCTCCTGCTCCTCCTCCTCCTCCTCCTCCTCCTCATCCTCCTGTCCGCCTCGGCATTATCCTCCTCCTGTTCTCCGCCTATGCCTTCTCCTCATCGTGCATCCTTCTCTTCCCCCGCCTCCTTGCCCTCCGACCCGACCTTCTGTCCGCTGCCCTGACCCTGTCGCCGTCGTCCTCCACCACCACTACATTATCAATATAATATTGTCTATCCTCCTCCCCTTCCTGCTCCTGCTCGTCTGCCTGCTGAAATCTGCCAATGGCGTTCGAAGATCGAGGATCATGAGGATTCTGGAAATCGTGGGCCCGTTTCTGTGTCGGCTTCTGGGGGCCTTCAAGGATCTCCAGTGGGTCATCCTGAAGCCTCTAGGGGCGTCTTAGGATATCAAGGAATCAGGATTTGGGGCGGCACAACAACTTACTACGTCTGCCCTGGAGTCGTCGTCCTCCTCATCCTCAGTCTCCTCTCTCTCTCTCTTTCCAGGCGCCCTCCCGATTGCTTGTGCTGTCACGTTTCTGCTCGACCTGACCCATTGAGGCGCAAGCCATGGGCATAAAGCAAGAATGCCTGTCTTCATGCAAGCCGACGATTGCCAAAGATGTGAATCCGCAGTGCCAAATGCGATCTCACTGGCACCACCCCTGGTCAGGCGATCCGAACGTTCGCTTAAACACGGTATGGGTACACACACACAACAGAACATGCTGAAGGGCCACCCTCTCTCGAACATGTCGCCGCGCCTCGTTCCGAGGCAGACACGACTATCACCGACGGTGGACGACAACAAGTGGGAGGAGGACATATCTTGTCGACTGACGACCCCAGGACAGGGCGGAAGACATAACAGACAACAGACGAGGAGACGCATAGGGAGGGTTCGGGATGGCCTCACCATGAATGGAGACTAGACCTCCAGGAGAGAGGCGCCGAGTACGTCAGGGAGCTGCGCTTGCCCCAGATGCGGCCGGCGCACATTGCCATCTCCACGATCTGAATTACTTCGCCCGGCGCGAACATTAGTTTTCGACGGAGCGGCGAAATAACTGGGCGCTCTTGTTGGCTGTGCCCACCAAGGCTGCGTGACGGTTGCAGACGACAGCGGCAACGGCCTGGCCCAACGACGCCGCGGCCAGCGTGCGCGTCGCTTTCGGGCTGGAGGCTCAAGACGCTCTCGAAGAGCAAAAGGGTTGTTGCCGAATCGTTCGCGGCGAGTGGCTCGAAGTACGGGGCTCCGCGTTTCGCGCGACGTGCGTGGCGCTCCAGGGCCAGGCCGCTGCGTGCGAATCGGATGCCCGCAGTGGGCTGGCACGTCGCAATCGCAACGAGGCCACCAGTGGTCACTGAGCCTGCGTCGCTCGCGCGTGGGGCTGCTTGCGAACGCCCGCAAGGGCGAGCGCGCGCGGGTGGAGTGTGCCGCGGCGGAAGCCGCGCGGCTCCTCCGTGGCCCGCAGCGGGGCTGGCCCCTCCCGTCACCTCGGGCCTCCGAGTGGGCACGGCGCGCCTGGGCAGAGCTGCCTCCCCCTGGGGCGCGCGCCCGCACCCTGCAGGGGCCGAGCCGCTGGGGCCTTGGCCCCATGCCCTGGCCATCGCTCGGACGTCCATTCCCTGTGCTTTTTTGCGGCTTCGTGCGTGTTTCTTTTTTTCGCCACATGATCAGGGATGCTCCTCGATGGTCCTCGCCGAAGGAAAAATGCACACGTCCGAGCGATGCCAAGTGCCGCGGGCGCCGCGCGCACCGGTGCGCGCCGGGCCCAGGCGCCGCCGCGGCCCCGCGGAAGCCTGTCGGGCCTATAACTACGCGGGATGGCATGCTGGTCGGGGGAGGGGCGAGCCGCCTCCCCGACGGAGCGCCCCCGCCCACAGCCCGCCCCCGTGCCCATCCAAAATTCTCGTTTCCCCCCTCCCCCCGCGCCTGACTCAGGAACTCGAGCTTCAAAAAACTGCCCCCCCCCCCCCCGACGGCACGCGCTCATCTGCCCCCCCCTCCCTCGAACCCAGGGGGGGGGCGATGACGTTGCCCTCCGGAGGATAACCCAGGGCTGGACCTGGGCGTTGTCTGTCGTCTTGCTTTCGTCTTGTTGTTCCTGTTGCTCTACCTGTTGTCCCGCACCTCCCTGCCGAAACGAAAAACCAGACACAGCCGAAGTCCAGCAAGACAGCCCTGGCATTGAACAGGGACCGACCGTGCCGGCAGTCCTATTGGCCTACCATGAAATCATCGTAGAACCCAAAAATGTTCTAATCACACAAACACTGTTCTTAGAACATAGCCCCGATGCGATAAAACAAGACAGTCCCAGCCAGATATGATCTAAGAACACTTCGTGGAAACCACAAGGGGGTTCTCAGAACATTGTTCGGTAAGGCCTATGGGCGCGCCTTGACGTTTCGCCACTGCTTGATGGTATAAGCGCCGCAGGAAACAACTAACATTCGCCAGCCATCGGGGATCTTCTGACCCGGGTCAATCCTGACCCGGGTCAGCAGGAAACCCCAAAACTGCAATGCAGGAACCAAACACTGCAGCGCAGGCCTTCTCAAACCCGGGTCAGCCAATCTGCGCGGCCGCCTCGCGGCCACGAGCGGCTCGCTAACCCGGGTCAGCCAGAGGGGGTCGTCGCAGGATCCTGCAGGATCCGGTGCCCTGGCTTAGGGGAACAAGAAGTGGCATAAACATAAAGACTCGGAGGTCCGCGCAGATTTCTCGGATCGGCGCTGGGGCCCACCGGCGGCGCCTCCGGCGCCGCCCCTGGCCCGCTCCGCCCCTGGCGCGCTCCGCGCGCCAAGGAGGGGGGTCCAGCGCCGATGCGAGAAATCCAGGCGCGGACCTCCGAGTCTTTATGTTTATGTCACTTCTTGTGCCCCTATGGCTGGCCCCCGTTCCCAGACCTCCGACGTCGTGATGTTTTCACGACGTCGACCCCAAGAGGTTTGGACCCCTGCCCAGGGACCGGTTCTTCATCCTGCGTCCTTTTTTGACGGTCCCGAGGCCCGGGAAGGGCCCCCAGAGGCCGAAAATAACCAAAAACCTCCCGTCGTGTTTTTTTCACGACGCGAGGAGGTCTGGGTTCGCACTGACCCCCAGCTCGACGCTCCCGAGGCCAGCGCACCCTCCGCAGCGCCGGCCCCGACCGCCGCGGCGGGAGCGCTCCGGCCGGCCAGTGCGAGAGCCGATCGGCGTCCCGCCGCTCGCCGGCGCTGCGGGGGCCGTGGGCACCACGCAGGAGAGGAGGAAGAGCACGAAGCAGAAACGCGAGAGCAGGAAGAGAAGACGCAACAAGAAAGGAAGAGGAGGAGGAGGAGGAGGAGGAGGGATCAGAAGAGAAAGGGCAAGCATAAACAGATAAGCGCAGTAAGAATAAGAAGGAGAAGAGAAGACGCAATCAGAACGAAGAAAAGCAGAACACGCAATCATAAAGAAGAGAGCAGGAAGAGAAGACGCAACAAGAAAGAAGAGCAGAAGCCGCGATCAGAAGAGGAAAGGCAAGCATGAACATATGAACGCAATGCAGCCAACCCGCAGAGTAAGGATGCGCGATAAGGGTGCAATTGAGCAAGGCCCATGGACGCCCATTTCGAAGCGTTTCGATCGGGGCGCGGCCAACGAAAGTGTCCAAGGATGGATCCAGGAGGCAAGGATGCAAGGGTACCCTTGGGAGGGATGCCTATCCTTACTCTGCGGGTCGACTGCAATAATAATCAGAAGAGAAAACGCAATCAGAAAGAAGAAAAGCAGAAAACGCAATCATAAAGAAGAGAACACGCAAACAGAAAGATAAACTTGGGGCGCTTCGCGCGGATCTCCTGGATCTGCGCTGGGCCCCGCTCCAGAGCGCGTCAGGGGCGGCGCCGGAGGCGCCGCCTGGGGGGGCCCAGCGCGGATTAGCCGCGGATTCGAGCAATCCGCGCGGAGCGCCAGCAGTTTATGTTTATGCCGTTTCTTCTTCTTCTTGATTAGCCGCGGATTCGAGCAATCCGCGCGGAGCGCCAGCAGTTTATGTTTATGCCGTTTCTTCTTCTTCTTCTTCATTTTCGATCCGCTGCCAGAATCGGCACTGCCACCAACACCATCGCCACCGCGACCCGTCGGCCGCATCCGCCGTGGCCGCCTGTGGGGCCCCGGGCCCCGTGGCGTCTCGAGCCTGCCGCAGCGGCTGGGGCCAGCTGTGGACCGGCGCGGGGCGCGTGGAGACACGTGGGCGGCTCGGATCGGTCCCCTGAAGGGGCCCCAGGACACACAAATAAATACACACAAATAAAAATAGTCCCCATATTTTCGGGGTGTCTGTCTTCCCCCCCACTTCCCATCTTTTCCCATCTTTTCTCGGGAATCGAGGATTCATTGGGTCTGTGTGTTTCTTTTCCTCCGGATCCCCGGAGCCCTCCCACGGTCCAAGCGCACCAATCTTGCCGAGCTGCGTCTCTGGACGACTTCGCAACCAGGGCGGCAACCTCCGCCCTGCTCTCCAGCTCCGCCGATGCCGGGCTCGGCCCTGCTCATGAAGTCGCTGTCTCCGCCGAAGCCTTGCCGGAGTATCTGCCCGTCCTCTCCGAGGAGGTACCCCCCACTCCGTCGCGCCGCCTGGGGCACATTCCCGACACAATCGTAAGTCAGAACATCAGCCCAAAGATTGGCGGATCCGAAGGCACAGTCGCTCCCCAGACCCCCGACGTCACGATTTGTTCATGAACGTCGACCCCTGGAGGTCTCGACCCAGTCCCCTGTACCGGTTCTTCATCCCGAGTCGGTTTTTGACGGTCCCGAGGGCTGGCAAGGGCCCCCAGAGGCCGAACATAGCAAAAGACCTCCCGTCACGTTTTTTCCATTGCCCGAGGCTACCAGCCTGGAACATATCCCTATCCCTATGCTGGGCACCTCTTCATCACGATGCCAATCTTAGTCTTAGGGATTCCCTTATCTTTTGAGGGCGCATCCCTCAGATTGTCATCGCCTTTTGGCGTGTCAATCTGAAGGATAGGGATACGTTCGAGGCTGGTAACGAGGGGGCCTGGGCCTCCTCAGAGACTGGACGCCGGAGGCGGGCGCGGCAGCCGCAGGGCGGCTGCCCCGCTGCCGCGCAGCGGCTCGGGGGCGAGGCGCCGCGGAGCGCGGCGCGCCGCGCCGCAGGGCCTGCGGCCGCGCGGGGTCGCCGCCCGCAGCGGCGCCCCCGGAGGCACGGAGGCAGGGCGCACGGGCGGAGCCCCGGCCGAAAGGCTCCCCAGCAGCCACCAGCACGTGAGAAGCGACAGAGCGTAGCTCCACTGGGATCCAGTGTTTTTTTGTTAAAAAAAGCTGATTGTTTTCTGTGTATTTTTTGCTGAGAAGCCTCAAACGCCAGCCAGTTCGCTTGCATGGACGGGGGGCGGGGGCCGAACCGGAAGCGAGCCGCAAGCGACTTGCACGTGCGGCACCTGCACGCTGGGGTTCCTCCGACGAGGGGCGAGGGGAGGGGGAGGGCGAACGCCATGCGAGCAAACGTGCCTGCATCTGCGCAAGAAGGAGACATGCCAGTGGCCGGCGGCCGAAGAGCGCTCGCCAGGGCCGGAGGACACGTGGGCGCGTCGCCCCGATCGGCGGCGAGCGAGGGGGGGGCAACGAGACGGAGAGAAGGCCTTCTCAAAAGGCGGCGCGGGACTGCTCAGAGGCCCTCGCGCCCTCTGAGAAGCCTCCCTGTGCCTTCGGGGGAAGGCTTCGAGCTTCGAGAACTGCTCAGAAATGGCCGGGGGCCTCCCGAATTCTCCCGAGGGAACCCGGCCCTTCTCTCGCTTCCCCCTCGGGCTCGCCGCCGACCCGAGCCGGCCGAGGCCACCCCCCCGCACCGCAGGCTCGCCCCGAGCCCGCCGCGCCGCCGCGGCGCAGCGCGGGGCGCCCGGGCGCGGGGCGCACGGGCGCGCAGGTCCCGGGTCGAGTGGGGCGCCCCGCGTGCCCTGCAGGGCACGCGCGCCGACCTCCCCCTGCCCCGCGCGGCGGCGCCGGCGCGTGATGAAGGACGGTTCCGCGGAGCCCTGCAGTAGCGATCGGACCTCCGCGTGTCCCCTCTGCCCAGCGTCCACGCCGCCCCCCCCCCCCCCCTCGCATCGAGCCCCTGGCTTCTGCCTCGCCCCTCCTCCTCCTCCTCCGCCTCCTCCTCCTCCTCCTCCTCCTCCTGCTCCTCCTGCTCCTCCTCCTCCTCCTCCTCCTCCTCCTCCTCCTCCTCCTCCTGCTCCACTCTGCCATCCTCTTTTCGTCACCACTCTTGGTCACCATCATCGTCCTCGACACCATCATCTGTATTCTTCTCCGCCGCCGCCGTCACCTCCTCACTCGCCCGTCCCCCTTCCTAACATCTTTCCGCCTGCAGTGCCTTGTCTCTCCTTCTCCTCTTCCTCCTCCTCCTCCTCCTCCTCCTCCTCCTCCTCCTCCAGCTCCTCCTCCTGGTGCTCCTCCTCCTCCTCCCTGTTTGTCTTGCTTTACCCCTCCTTCTCCCTCCCACCCCCGCTGCTGCCCTCTTCCTCTCCCCTCGTCCTGCGTCTTCCCCCCTCCCCTCCCCGCCTTCTCCTCCTCCTCCTCCTCCTCCTCCTCCTCCTCCTCCTCCTCCTCCTGCTCCCGCTCAGCCTCATCATGCGCGGCCGGGGCAGCGAACGCCACCTCGACGGTATCTCGTTCTCCATCAGCTTAGGCTCGAAGAGGCCTCGCCCCGCGTTTCGCGGGCGAGGGACACGAGGAGGGAATGAGGAGAACGAGGATGAGCAGGGTGAAGAAGGGGAGAGCGAAGGACGACATGAGGAGGGGGAGGAGGAAGGGTATGATTAGAAGGAGGAGACGGTGAGGAGGTAGGTGTGTATGTGTGTGTGCATGTGGAAGTGGAAGTGGTGGAGAACTGATGCGGATATGGGGTAGATACGTACAAGATGAGGAGGACAAGGAGGAGGAGAAGGCGAGGATAGATGGGGAGGATCATGACGACGGAAGGGGAAGCAGTCGCCCCGTCCCCAAGCAATGCATGACCGACATCGAAACTTGTCAGTCGGAGGGGGCGGAGAAGGACAGGTTGGAGCGAGACAAATCAGATGATGAGCAGGGGGAGAAGGAGAGGCACGATGAGGACGAGCCATGAGGAGCAGTGGGCACCGCAGAGGGACGGCCACTGTGAGAGAACCCGCGCAGCGAGACCGAACACTACCAACTCAGACACGTTGCATGGGAGTTGCCCCTCACGTCTTGATGACTTCCATGTGAAGATGCATCGCACCATCTCGCGATTGTGGGTGGGGAAGGCGAGAGAGAAAGTAAGGAGGGGGAGTGAGTGAGGGAACAAGTGAGAGAAAGAGGTACGCACATGCGAATGCACAAACATATTTTCATATATATATATATATAGATGTGTGTATATACACATCTACAAAAGAGAGAGAGAGAGAGAGAGAGAGAGAGAACGACTGCAGTTGTCTGGCCATCGAGCCAAGAGCACATGCTGTTGCCTGGCCATGGAGCCCGCTAGCTCCGGATGCAATTTGCGTCGCTGCTGCGACAGCACCGTGGGCACCACGAGGAGCACGCGTGGCGACAGGTCTGCGTTAGCACAGAAATGTCGAGAAAGACGAGGACGGCAGGGTCAGCGATACACTTAGATAATAATCTATGCACATATACATAGATTAACAATATAGCGACTGTAGCGAGAGAAACGGATATATATAGCAACGCAAACATCGTGTGCGAGAGCATCGGTTTTGTAGATTTCTGCTACATAGAGGAAGCTATGTGTGCACGCCAAAGACAGCCGTTTGAGCCAGAACATCGCGGGACCATGAACATCGTGGGGCGCAGCAAACACCGTGCAGCATCAGTTCGTTCAGGCTTCTCTCCGAGGCCACATTCCCTGGCACACTGAGATACACAATCGGGTCATGGATGCCTGTCTGGGTTGCGAAAACGAAAATCTCCTGCAAGAGGCCCATGAAGTGAATGCCGTGGTTCATGTGCCTGCTCCGCATGGCACGGGCCACGAGTATGACCAATTGCTGCTGCTACTCCTCAGTGTTCGCCTCCTCTCTCACTGTCCTCTCCCCCCTCCTGACACCAAGGCTCACCTGTGAACGCCACGTGCCCCAGATAGGCGCTGGCAGTATGAAGGGCGCGCACGAGGACAGAGGAAGGACAACGCACGCGCACCTACCCTGTTCACTGGAGATCCTCGGTGCTCGGGGAGGCCTCGCGGTGGGGACGCTAGAAAATTACGAGCGATGAACATGGAGGAGGGGGAGGAGGAGGAGGAGGACGAGGAGGAGGAGGAGGAATACACATGCTCGTGCCCTCCCGGTCTGGAGACCGGGGCCCGATCCTGTGGACACATAACTCCGAGCCCACAGGTACGCTCCGCGAGGGGCACCCGCTCGTCCTGGTCCTCGTCCTCGTCCTTCTCCTCGTCCATCTCGTCCTCCTCCTCCTCCTCGTCCTCGTCCTCCTTCTCCTCTTCCTCCTCCTGCTCCTCCTCCTCCTCCTCCTCCTCCTCTGCTCTCCCTCTTCGTCTCCCTCGTCTCTCGCGCTCTGCTCGTATCATCTTTATCACTACTCTTGATGACGGAGATGCTGTTAGCATGGAACATGCTACTCGTACGCTCTTCTCATCTCACCTCGCACCGACTCCTCTCTTCGACTCGTCCCCCCCTGCTCCCTTAGAGCCTCATCGCCGCACAACCTCCGCTCCAACCTGCTCCCCCCTCGCACACCTCGCCTCTCCTGTCATCTTGTCCCCTCCGATATCCTCTCCCCTCCATCGCCTTCGCTCCTCTATCCTCACTCATCTCGTCAACTCGCCCCCCCTTCGCTCACCTCCGCCGACTTCTCTCACCTCCGCCGATATCATCGTCGTCTTCTCCTACCTCTCTCTGCTCGCCGACACTCCCCACTCTCCGCGTTCCTCCTCTCCTTACCTGCCTTCCCCCCTCGCCGACATGTGCGTCATTCTGTCGAGCCCTGCTCCTATGCCATGCAACGCCGCGTCGTGATCTGCCCACCCTCCTCTCCGCCTCGCATCACCTGCCCCCTACACAGGAGGAGAAGGAGGAGGAGGAGGAAGAGGAGGAGGAGGAGGAGGAGGAGGAGAAGGAGGAGGAGGATGAGGAGGAGGAGGAGGAGGAGGGGGAGGAGGAGGGGGAGGAGGAGGAGGAGGAGGAGGAGGAGGAGGAGGAGGAGGGGGAGGAGGAGGAGGAGGAGGAGGAGGAGGAGGAGGAGGAGGAGGAGGAGGAGGAGGAGGAGGTGGGGGAGGAGGGGGAGGAGGAGGCGGCACCCAGATCCCCAGTGTCCACTTCTCATGCAATATTGTCATCTTCCCGTTGTTGCCACAGCCTCTCCTCGCCTGCTCCCCCCTCCGCCTGCCCTCCCCTGCCCACTCCCTCCCCCCCCACCTACAACGCCTCCTCCGCACTCCCCTCCACTAATCTCGTCTCTGGCTCTCAGTCATCGGCTTCACTCGCTTCATATCATCCCAACTCTGAACATCCATCATGTCTCACCAAACCTAAACTCAGGTCTTCTTCTCGTCCATCGCCTCCACTCCCGCTTCCGCCTCCTGCTCCTTCTGGTCCCAAAGCGTATCCGTCGTCTTACCGCAACGAAGTCATCATCACCAACACCTTACCCTTCCTACGAGTTGCAATGTCATCCCCGATCCTCCTATCCTATGTTTGCCCCAATCATATCATCCCAATCCCGCATGATCATCTTCGCCCCTTGTCGATCCAAACCTCTCGTCAAACTTCCTCTCAGCTCCCGCTTCCCTCGTCCATCATCGGCCCTCTCGTGTGCCGATCACCCCAGTTGCCGCTGCCCACGTCGCCGCCATCGCCCCCGCCGCCGTCGTCGCCGCCGCGGGAACACGCCACCGAGGCTCGAATCTAGGAGTCTGCCGACACGTTCTATGGGCCCTTTGTCATGGATCATTTCGTATGGTGGCAAGATAGGCAACGCAGTCTGTGTAGGATGTTGAAGCGTTTCGCCGAGTTGGGAGCCTGGCCATGTAGTCCTCACTGCCTGCGGCAGCGCTGGAGTGGTCCCACTCTTGCATTGCAAAGTCCGCTCGTCACCTCAATTGCATGGGCCGTCCGGGGACGAGACGACCCTTGAGTTCGACCTCTCACGGTGGTGAGAGTCCTCGCCGGCAGCGGCAATATTTCGTGTTCATTATCCAGACCTTGTGCACTTGCCCATGGGCTTTGGTCGTTGAATATGTACCCCCTTGGAAGCGGATGGTGAAGCCGGTGGACCTCATCGAGGTTCCTAGAGGATCTTGCGGCCGTGTGGTGGGGCTTCTTTGGATCGAGGATACGTTTGAATGATAGCGCAACTGGCAAGGGTCACCATCGTCACGACCACTGCGGGGGCGGGCGCAGGGCGTCGTGGCCTTGTCTACTCCCCGCTACCGCGACCTTTAGGGTCTTGCCTCTTGAAGCACATGTTGACTCCAACGGGAGATGCCCCGTCATTCTGGCAGCGATGTATCGCAGCATGTTCCGGAGCCGGGCAGGGTTTCAAAGACTCCGAGAACACAGCTCGAGAGCCCTTCCCAGTTACAGCCGATGTCTGCATTTTTTCCATGCGGGGTCCCTGGAAGTCCCGACCCTTGCCTTAGGGCCGGCTTTCATCCCGACTTTATTTTTTGTTCAAGCTAGGCCCGATCAGGCGAAACAGACACATGTGTGTTCACGCTTGTCCCGCCCTGCGGCGTTGGGCTCAATCACGTCGTGCTACCAATCGGCCGCCTGTATACTGAAAATTGCTGAGGCTTTTAAAGGAAGGCAACAAGGAGTGCTCCGCACAGGCGTACCTAAGCGCCCAGCGCTCTGGTCGTGAAATTCTCACCCTTGCCAGTGCACGCAGTGCGCTACACGTACACCACACAACGTCATGGCAACACACGACAACTCCGTGCTGAACTGCAACAAAGCCTCAGGCGAGAGCACGAATCCCAAGTAAAGTAGGGCTGCATCCTCCCGAGTAAATTAAGGCTGCGACTTGTCTTTGGTGACGGCCCCCAGGGTCCCAGGCAGAAGACATGCCCTCGCGATATGACTTCACGACGCGGAGCATGTCTGGGAACACAAGCGCTCCTCGGTTCCCCGCCGGCCTGTTTGGGACGATTCGGGCACCCCCGGAACGCTCTCGGCGAAGCGCAGCTGCCGGAAAAAGCATCCCGAGGCCAGAGAACCGCTCAGAAGGCCGCCTGAAAACCGACGACGCCTGGAAGCAGCAGCGCCGTCAGAGAACCAACGAACATCGCCGAATCGACGAACTCGCTTCTGCCCGTGACCCAGTCGGGGAGACCTAAGACTCGAGTATACGGGGGACTCGGGCTGGCCCGACGGGGCCATCATGAACATGAGGCGACGCCATCTGGAACTTGACGCGAGCTCCCGCGCTGCAAACCTCCCACGAAATCCGGACCGTCGAAATCCAGGACGCGCTCGTCGAAGAACGTCGGCAAACCCGAGCGCCAGCTCACTCGAGCCTTGCGTTTCCCTGGCCCAGAACCCAGCCGCCGCCGCCGTGGAGGCCGGGACGGGAGGTGGCGAGAAGCAACAAAAGAGCCCCCGGTCCTTTGGGAGGGGACCGCAGGTAGGAGTGCCAAAAACATTAGGGACACAGGGGGGTCCTCTCTGCAGACCAAACCGCCCAGAAATTTGAAACTGCAGCCCTATAAGGCGAAGACGCGGGCCCAAAGGAGGCCACGTCTTCATCGCGTTACTCAGTTTAAGGGTTCTCCCCAGACCCCCGGCGTCGCAATTGTTTCGCAACGTCGACCCCCAAAGGTCTGGACCCCTTCCTCGGGAGCCGTTTTTCGTCCGGAGCCGTTCCTTGACGCTCCCGAGGCCCGGGAAGGGTCCCCGGAGGCCGAAAATATAGCGATAAACCTCCCGTCGTGATTTTTGTCATAACGCGAGGCGGTCTAGGCTTCGTTCTCGACGATCAGGGGGCGAGCGTTGTGTCGGGCGTGTCCCCCTACAGGGGGATTTCCGACGATAAATAAAAGATACTCCAAACATAACCCAAGAACGTCAAAAAATACTCAAAAAATAATCCCCAGCCTATTTTTGTATTATTTGTTTTCCGATGTTTGGGGTATTTGTGATTCCTCGTCGAAAATCCCCCTGTTGGGGGACAGGCCCGACTCAGGGCGAGCGGTGGCCGCGGCGCCGCAGGTGGCACAGCTCGTGCAGCAGCACGGCCAGCAGCGACCCCCGCCCGAGCAGCTCGCCGCGCCCCTCTGGCCCGCGGGGCGGCCGCGGCCGCGGCGGCGGCCCTACGCGGGAGGGCGGTGGCGGCCGCGGCGGCGGCTTCGGATTACAGTCGGGGCGTTGACCTAAGGAACCCTAAATAAGGAACGAGGCCCCTCTTTTCCAGAACTTAAGCTTCGATTTCCCATCGAAGACCTAAGGAAGGCCTGAGGCAAGCTGCGAAACCCTTCAGGAACGCGGGGCCCCTCCCCAACGAAAAGGGTTCCTTCTTCAGGGCCCCGACTGCAGGGAAGGGGCACGGAGGATGACAGAAGCGTCAAACTTCGGAGGTCCGCGCGGAGGTCTCGGATCGGCGCTGCCCTGACTCCGGATCCGCCCTACTTTTGGGAAATTCGTAAGTGGGGCTTGGAATTTCCGCCTTACTTTTCAAGCCCCGCTGATGCCAATGTCCGCCCTACTTTTCTGTGGCTGTTTCTGTGGATTTCCGCTCTATGTTATGCTGGGCGCAGCACTTCCCGCCCTACTTGTTCGGCCTCTTGTGGGTGGATTTCCGAGGCAATTTTAAGTTGGGAAAAAAGCCAAAGTAGGGCGGATCCGGAGTCAGGGTGGGCCCCCCCGGGCAGCGACGCCAGCGCCGATCCGGGACAGCCGCGCGGGCCTCCGAGGGAGAGAGCCGGGCGGCGGCGGCCGCGGCGGGGCGGCGGCGGCCGCGGAGCGGCGGCCTCGGACGCCCGTGCCGGTCGGAGGCCTGAGATCTCTTGCCTCGGCCGCACGGAAGACTTGGTCGGGCACGTGCCTGCCAGAGGCGGGTTCTGCAGGGGAGCTCGAACATAGGAGGGGCAAAAAGTCAAACGCGGTAGAGACATCGTCTCCAGACTGTGAGATGTTTGTCTTTGCAGATTCCTCCTGTAGAGGGACGTGCCCGATTTCAATGTGGAAGACCTGGGCGAGAGTGACCGCTGGTCGGCGGAGGAAGAGGTAGCCATACTGCTACCCTTGCCTCGTTTTCCCCTCTTTGGGCCCCCCGCGAGGCCCGTGTCGCCACGGCTGGATTCGCCTCGAAATCCTGGTCAGAACGCATCCCGGACCTTTTCGTTTCCCCAGCTGGTGCGCAGCTTTCGGGGGCCGCGGGGAGGCCGAGTCGGAGCCACCGCCTCGCAGTCGGCCGCCTGGGGGCCCCAGTGTACCCGCACCAAAGGCAACTCCGGCGGAAAGGTCACTCTTACGTGTGGTCGCACCTATAGTGGGCCTTGGAAACGACAGGGCCGTCTTTTGACCGCTTCCGCTCTGCCGTTTTTTTTGCCGGTTCCGACGCCGTTTTTCTACCGGTTCCATTTTCAAGGAACATCTTTTTGGAAGCGGTGAAAGAACGGCCCTGCCCCCCCCCCCCCTCGCCAGGAGGAGGAGGACAAGGTGGAGGAGGAGGAGGAGGAGGACGAGGAGGAGGTGAAAGAACGGCCCCCCCCCTCGCCAGGAGGAGGAGAAGGAGGACGAGGAGGAGGAGGACGAGGAGGAGGAGGACGAGGAGGAGGAGGACGAGGAGGACGAGGAGGAGGTGAAAGAACGGCCCTGCCGTTGCCGGGGCCCTCAGAGTGGTCGTTAACGCCGCGCGCTGCCGCCCGGGGGCTCGGGCCCCGGGGCCAGTCCGTCCGTCCGGGCCCGGGTCAGTCGGGCCGTGCATTAGAAGTCGGGCCTGTCCCCCTACAGGGGGGATCTTCGACGAAAAATGAAACATACCCCAGCAATTGTAAAACAATAAAATAATCCCAAAATAGGCTGGGGACTGTTTTTTTGCATGTTTTGGGTTCTTTTGGGTGGTATTTTTAAGGTATTTTTAATTTTTCGTCGAAAATCCCCTTGTAGGGGGACACGCCCGACTTGTAAGCAATGCACGATCCTGAAAAATCCTCCAAGATCCTGCACCCGAGCCCGGGACAATGAACCCCTGGCTGCGCAGGGTCCTGCAAGATCCGGCGCTCTGGCTGACGCCCGTTTGCACTGACCCCCGTCTCTTGAGCCCCGCCACCGTGGGGTCTGCAGGGCTCTGGTGATGATTCTTCGCGCGATGTTGTGTTTTTGTCGCAACCTCGGATCTACGGGACGCCCCAGCCGAGGGCCCCAGCGGCTTCAGACTGGCACTGGTGCAGCCCCATTTTGGACGCCCGAAATGGGTACGGAAAGAATGGGTACAGTGCCCAACAACAAATGTTGTCCCAAACCAACAGCGGCCGCTGCTGGGCGGGCGGCCTTCTGTCTCAAACGGACACAGGCCGCGGCGGCGCGGACAGCGAGTCCTGTGCAAAATGAACAGGAACTGCTGTTCGGTATCGTACCCATTCTGTCCGTACCCATTTCGGGCGTCCAGCCCCATGACTGCCCCAGGGCGGCCCCGCAACGGCCCCGCGAGGGCCCCGGGACGGGCTCCCAGGCGGCCCCGCTCGGGCCCACGTCGTGCCCCAAGAGTCCCAGGCGCCGGAGGGTGGCCGGCAGTGGCCCTGGCCTGAGATGCTCGCGCGGGCCCCATCGGCGCGGTGCTCTGGAAGCCGTGTACAGCGGCGGCCCGCCCAGCCCGGCATCGGAGCTCTCTGGGGGGCTCGTCCGGATCCTCAGCACAGCATCGACACGATGTTGCAGCTCGCGCGCGTGCCGTCCGCATCACCGACCAAGTGAACAACAAATCGCGAAGCAGATCCGCAACCCTAGTCGGGATGGGTAAAGTCCGATGCTGCACTATGCAGCGTTATACCGCCCTGGCCGAAGCAGCGACCCAACAGTACTGTCGCAGCACATCCCCAGTTGAGACGTCAACTGCACGCGATGTCAGGCCATCGTCAAACTCAGGAGGAAGGGGAGAGCAAGGGAAGGGAACACGAGGAGCAGAAATAAGAGAAAGAGCGCAGTCACGCGGCAACGGTCGTTTTTCAAAGTGTTGCGAGTGCATCATCACATGATCCGGCCGATCATTCATCAAAGCGGCCATCACACAAAAGCAAGCAAGACACCGCAATAGAGAAGGTGGAACACTAGCAGAAGCATGCCCACAATGCTAGCGCGCCGCGGCGGAGAGAGCCATCGGCGACGGGGAGGAGAAGGAAGCAATCCTGGGCAACCCGCAACCACACACACACACACACTAGCACGCGAAGAACGGTATACAACACAGGCCCGCCGCCCTGGGACAGGCGCCCGCCTCCGACAGCGAAGACATGCACCCTCTGCAGCTCTTCGCCCATGGAACTACCTGGGCCGGCACGGAAACGGAAAGAGCGCTTCAAACACATCAACCGAAGTTGCTCACACCACCGTTCGTATTGGGAGCCTTGGCGTTGAGAGCTTGTTACGTCACCCCTCGCTCCTCCTCTTTCTACTCCTCTTTCTCCTCCTCCTCCTCCTCCTCCTTCTCCTCCTCTTTCTCCTCCTTCTCCTCCTCCTCCTCCTGCTCCTCCTCCTCCTCCTGCTCCTCCTCCACACATTAGCACGCGAAGAACGGTATACAAAACAAGCCCGCCGCCCTGGGACAGGCGCCCCCGACAGCGAAGACATGCACCCTCTGCAGCCCTTCGCCCGTGGAACTACAAGGAGGCTACACGCAAGAGTGACCTCTGGTGCGCGGCTTTTTTGGGGGGCCGCAGGGAGACCAAACCTGGGCGCGCAAGCCGCTGGTTACTCCAAATCCCTTAATAATCGACCCCCCCTAAAAAACCGGACCCCCCTCCAAATGCGACCTAATATTCTGGACCCCCCTCTTCGACGGGGCGCCTTCATAAACTGGACCCCCTAAGCTCCAATCCAAAGAAAGCGCCCTAATAAACCAAACCCCCCAGTATTCAAAAAGGCGCCTTAAAAAAACGGACCCAGGGGACGATTAATAAAGGATTTGGAGTACCGCTTCGCTTTCAACCATCTGAGGACCCATCTGTGCCCGCACCAGAGGCCACTCCGGCGAAAGGCCACTCTTATACGTCTAGTCGGTACAGGGAGGCGCCCGGCAGGCCCGCGACACACGACCGGCACAGGGCAGCTGTGGCAGTTCGCGACATCCGGGTGCGAGCATCGGCGGTGGACAGGCCTCCCTTTCGTAGACCTCCCCCTGGTGAAAACGGCCTGGGACCGAGACCGACGGACCTGGACCCGCAAAAAATGACAGCCGCGACGCCCTCTCGCGAACCGAAAACGGCCAATGCCTTCATCGACGTGTCAGGGTCGAGCCCGTCTGGTGGACTCGGCCGACCCGAGGCAGCGCTGCGTCTCCGCGCTACACTCCGCGCCGTCGGGGCGCTGGGCGGACAGCCACGGCCGAGGCAGCGGAGCGGCGGCAGGAATGATGGGCGTGTTCTCCACCACCACAACCATAGGTTGGAGGGGGGGGGTCCTCCTCCTCCTCTTCCTCCTCCTCCTCCTCCTCCTCCTCCTCCTCCTCCTCGTCCTCCTCCTCCTCCTCCTTCCCTGCAACTTCTGGTGGTGGTGGTGGTGGAACACAGGCTCATCCAAGGAAGGGGAGGCCTTGTCCACGTGCCCGCGCACCCGCAGCCGGATGGTCACCAAATACCTGCTCTCCATGCGCACGGAGCCGTCACGGTCCCTCCGCGGCAGGCGGTGGAGCTCCCTCGCGCGCGAGCGCGGGCGGACGAGGGCGTCGTCGCCGCCGCCGCCGCAGTCGCCGTCGCCATCGTCGTTGTCATCGCCGCGTCGTCGTCTTCGTCACAACTGTAGCGCGCGCCGCCGTCGTCGCCATTGCGCACCGCCATCATCACCAGGCACTGCTGAATCGTCTAGAGGCTCCAGTGAGGGCCTGCCCCAGAGAACCTGGGGCAACCCCGCGGAACAAAAAGGTTCATGGCCCGACTCTCCGATACCACTGCTACAGGTTGGAGACAGATGCTCGTCCAGACCTCGACGACCTCGGAGTGCAATTTCGAGCTCAATCCTTCGAGGTCTGAAAGCCCACCTGTCTCCTACATGTGGTGCTTGCGATTGGTAATGGCAGATTTGGCCCTGAGAAATGGCCTTGCAGATTCGAACAGAGAGGCCCAATCCAAAGGATCCATATTAGACCACTCGTAATTTGGTTTTGGATCTGGAGTGGACCGCTTCACACTTAATTATCTTGACCCGGATCGCCACTCTCGAAAGAGCAAGTGCTTTGCAGTCGAGGCGTTGACCTAAGGAACCCTAAATAAGGAACGAGGCCCCTATTTTCCATAAGTTGAACTTCGATTTCGTACCGAAAACCTGAGGAAAATCCAAGGCAAGCTGCGAAACAATTAAGGAACACGGAGCCCCTCCCCAACGAAAAGGGTTCCTTCTTCAGGGCCCCGACTGTGGGGTGTGGCTGTGGGCCTGTACCGATCGGAGGGCTAGTCAAGGCATGCGGCGAGGAGGGGTTGGAAGCGGGATGGGCACGACAAGGACGAGAAGGAAGTGAACGAATAGCCAGAACATGAGGACGGGGAGGAAGACGAGGATAATAAGGCCGACCATGACATCCAGGAGAATCTGGACGAGAAGGCAAGGACGAGGACAAGGTCAAGCAAGGTGGCAATGAAATGAACCCGGCACCTTAGTGGGCCCTGGATACGACAGGGCCGTTTTTTTACCGGTTCCGCTTTGCAATATTGTTACCGGTTCCGACGCCGTTTTTGTTTTACCATTTCCGTCGCCATCTTTTGACCGGTTCCGGCTCCGGTTCCAATCCTGGAGCCGTTTTTTTCACCGTTTCTGGTCGCAGTTTTTGTTTGCCGTTTCCATTTTCAAGGGGCATCTTTCTGGAAACGGTGAAAAAACGGCCCTGCCGTCTCCGGGTCCCACAAAGCCCGGCACGACCCAACTAGGGAAGCTTCCAACGAACTTAAATCAGACCCCCTTAGCATTGCTCGGCGTTGCTTGGTATTGCTTGCATGGTCGTAGCATTACCTGGCATTGCTTTGCATTGCTCGGTGTTGCTTGGCAATGCTTGGTACAGATCATATGGCTTACACCGCACCGCCGACCCCTTGGGGTCCGTGGTTTTCAAAGCGAGGGTCGTCCAATGGCGTCTGTGCTATCCTGCGGTTTCTTCTTGATGCCTCTTGATGGTCATTTGAGGGATGCATCGCGGGGGTCTCTCGGAGTTCTCTTGGGAGTTTCGTTCGTGGCCTCTTTGGCAACGGTCTCGGGCTCATCGGGGGCCGTTCCGTCCGCCCCCCTCTTTTGGAGGCAGCGTTGAAGCCTTGGGGGGGCCGTTTCGGAGCCTCTTGGGAGAGCCTCTTGGGGCCCCCCTCGGCCAACTCGGGCGCCTCTTGGCCGTCTTGGAGCCGTCTTGTTCCATTTCGGGCGTCTCTTGGGCCGTCTTGAGGCTATCCTGGGCTGTCGCGGCCCCCCTGAGGCCCTTCTTGGGGTCCTCTGGGCCGTCCAGGGCGCCTCTTGGGCTGACCTGGGGCTGCCTGGAGCTGTCTCGGGGCTCTCGGGGGCGCCGGTCGGGGCGTCTTGGGGCGGCCTCGGGGGCCTCTGGGGCCGTCGTGGACACTGAAGACGAGGAGGGCGAATATGCTGAAAATGCACCTCGCGCAAAAAAATGAAACGAGTTTTGCTCGTTGGGGCCCTCTCTCGAGTCCTCTTCGAACCCGCTAGAAGCGTCTTCGAGGCTTCGTGGGCTGTCTTGGAGCCATCTTGGGGCGCTTGGCGCCATCCAGCAATGAAAAAAACATGACGGGGGGGTTTTGCAATTTTCGGCTTCTGGGAGCCCTTGCGGGCCCTCGGGACCGTCAAAAAACGACTCAGGATGACAATCTGATCCAGGGGAATGGGTCGAGACCTCCAGGGGTCGACGTTATGCAAAAATCATGACGTCGGGGGTCTGGGATTCCCGTCATCCCAAGTCGTTTTTTGACGGTCCCGGGGCCTGGCCAGGGCCCCTGGAGGCCACAACCGGCCCAACCCCTCCCGTCGTGACTCTTGGGCGACGCGCGCATCTCTGGGGGGCGCCTCCCAATGGTCACGGCCGTTACCGCCAAGCGATTTGATGCTGGTTTTCCGAGGCTCCGGCAAGTTTACTTGCATGGACGGGGGGGGGGTGAACGGGAAATAAGCCGCCAACGACTGGCACGTGCGGAAGCCACGCAAGTCGAAAGGCACTTGCGCACGCCAGTGTGCATCTGAAGAGGGGCGAGGGGGGGCGGGGGGGGGGGGGGGGGCGCAGCCATGCAAGTAAACTCAGGTCAGGCATGTCCTGCTACAGGTAGACTTTGGACGAAATAGGAGATATGCAGAAACAGTCAGAACATCGTCCCGAGACTATTTCAAAGAACTGCTTTTGCATATTCCCTCTGAAAGTACGTAAGCTTGCCCAGATCGCTTTTGATATATATATATATATACATACATACATACATACATACATACATACATACACAAA